TTCGTCACGTCTCGTGTGATGAAAAACATTGTACAAAGTAAAGGATTGCAGAAGTGGCCTTGACTTAAAACTAGTTATTTTGTTAAAGTGAAACGACGGTCTTAAAAAACAAGAGAACAACAACAATAGGCAATTTAAAATTTTACTAACAGGCAGTTTCTACCTATGCCAGGCACGTCTCACGTTTTTGTCAGTAACTGGCTTCGAAACCACAGTTCAAGCCAATCCTCAAAGTGTCCCCCTATTTGTCAGCGGTAAATTTACGGACTTACAACGCTAAAAACAGGAGTTTAATTCCCCGATGTGAACAGTGTGCATATAGCTCATTATGTAGATAACAACATTCGTAGCTCATTGTGTAGCTATGGAGGATAACAACATCCGTAGCTCATTGTGTAGTTTTGCACGATGACAACATTCGTAGCTCATTGTGTAGCGTTGCACGATAACAGCATCCGTAGCTCATTGTGTAACTTTGCAAGGTAACAACATTCGTAGCTCATTGTGTAACTTTGCAAGGTAACAACATTCGTAGCTCATTGTGTAGCTTTGCAGGATGACAACATCCGTAGCTCATTGTGTAGTTTTGGAAGGTGACAACATCCGTAGTTCATTGTGTAGTTTTGGATGGTGACAACGTCCGTAGTTCATTGTGTAGCTTTGCACGATGACACCATCCTAGCTCAATGTGTAGTTTTGCACAATTTTAACATCCGCAATGCGAAAGGTGTGGTTACAGAAGAGAAGTATCCAACCCAAAAAGCAATTGCGACGAAGCTGGGCATTTCTCCAAGTACTATTAACAACACGGTAATAAATAAGTTAACTCGAAATCAACTGTAATTTTCACGTAAAAGGTGGTCGATAAAACCGGAATTCCAGCAGTCCCACGTGACCATAAATGTTTATGCCCCACCTTTTTTTTTTTTTACTTAAGTGCAATCATAGCTCATAGCTCCGTCATCTCATAACCGATTTGAGATCTAATTACAGTTTTTGATTCAAGAGGTCAAACCCTTTCGATTGGTGTATTTGATCACGCTCGAGGTCTCATAGATTAATTTATTCTAATCCTGCCTAAAAGAATTTCAACTTGAGGGTAGGCTGTTAGAGATCCTGAAGAGTAATAAAATCGAATCCGGTATACGCGCGCCCCACGCTTGGTATTGCTGGCACACAAATATAGAGCTAATGAAAAGGAAAAAAAGGTCCCATATATTAATTTACTCTAATCCTGCCTAAAAGAATTTCAAGAGCCGCGGTTATTGCGGATTCCATCTTGTTTTTCAAGTACAAACTTTTAGCTCATAGCTCCACCTCTTGACCGATTTAAAATCTAAATATAGCCACGACTATTGATGTTTCTCTCTTGTATTAAGATGAACTAAGTTCGAGAGAAAATTTCGGCATTTTTTTTATTAATGTTTTCTTTATCCTAGAAATATAAGAAACTTAGATTGATTTTCGGGGTAATATCCTTTTGAGGTTCGTATTCGTGGTGTTATCTGCGCTTTATCAGTTAAATCCTCCCAGTGGCACAGCGGTGTGTCTGCGGACTTACAACGCTAGAATTCAGGTTTCGATACCCGTGGTGGGCAGAGCACAGATAGCCCATTGCGTAGCTTTGTGTTTACTTACAAACAAACAAACATTATGACTTAAAAATTAGGATATTTTGAAGTAAAAATATTTGGCATTCGTTTCTTTCAGTTTTTGAATCGACTGTCAAAAAATTGGAAAAATTCTAAGAGAAAACTACAGTTTACATCTTTTTGAAAATTTCAATGTTTGATAAAAAGAGTTGTGTTTTGAAATTATGAACAATTTGGGTTAATTTCCTTGAAATCCGATAAAATCTTGGCATCAATGAACGTGAGAAATTATAAAGAGAAATCGTTTTTACGAACCAGCATACTGCTAACCATTTTACCGTTATTTACTGATATTTTACGTTGTAAAACTGTGCTTTAAAGAAAACTACACAATTCTGATACCTTAAAACACAGACAACTGTTTGTAAAACATAAAATATGTTGAAAATCTCTGATGTTGCTGAAACATAAGACTTTGACAAAAATTCTTTTGTTTGCTCTTCACAGACGCAATTATTCGCCCACGTCAAGTTTCTCGTCACTTGAACTTGGTATTGATTAGCTAGAAGTTTCTCTGTGCGAATTTCAACGATCAGTGAGAAAAAGTTGCACAAACCATTGACTCTAAAGGGTGGAACATGTGAAATTGACAGATGATACATGAGGTTATCTAGTACCAAAGAGAAGTTAGAAAACGATTACACAGGAATACTTTTGTCGTTACTGGAATGGTAGTTGTACACATCTCGAAATTCGTATTACTGAAAGTGACAGATGATACATGAGGTTATCTAGTACCAAAGAGAAGTTAGAAAACGATTACACAGGAATACGTTTGTCGTTACTGGAATGGTAGTTGTACACATCTCGAAATTCGCATTACTGTAAATAAAAAAACTTGTACAAGATGACTAAATATTTCTGCTGCCAAAGCAGGCATACATTATGTATGACATTACTCAACGTTTTTATTTCATAAAATACGAAAAAGTTAATTTCTATGGTTTATTTAAATCAACTTAAATTTTTGTAGTTAAATTCCTCTTTTTGTAAAAGTCTTCCGGTGGGGCAGCGGTAAGTCTACGGATTTACAACGCCTAACTCAGAGGTCCAGTTCCCCTCTGTGGACATAGCAGATAGCCCGAGATGGCTTTATTATAAAACAACAACAACACACACCTTTGTTAATAAGATTTATAAAAAATAGCAAACAAATGAAACGTACTGAGCCGTTCTTTTATGAAACAATCATTTTGTAGATATTATTGGAGAATAGAAAAAATTATATTAAACATAACTTTTTTTATTATTGAAAAATAACACTGATTACACAAATAAGCATTAGACAATGTATATTTTAGATTAACGGTGGAGTAACAGAAATGATCACTGGTGCTTTAATTACCATTCATTCCTAACATTTTTCTCGAGAAAAACAAAGAAACTCGCCTTTGCAGTAATGACTCGTTTGTCCACACCGTCATTAGTCAATATATGTGATATTGACAGGATATTAAAAAAATCTCGATATATTGTGTTTTATGTTTTATTTGTGTGTGTGTGTCTTGTTCTTATGCTCAATTACTTTTAAAAAATCTATTTTTTCATAAAGTGTAAAGTGCAGTACCATACTGCTGATCCCTTTACTCGCAACGTATTTATTCTTTTATTACTTCATCTAAATTTAAGCAAAAAGCAGGAGTAAGGATAGTTTAGAAAATTCTAAATGCCAGTTTTGTGGTTGTCTCTCGCTAGAAACAGAATTTTTAAGTGAACTGTTTATGTTATATAGAGTGTTGAGTACATTGCATTAAAAAAATTTTTGAATATGCAAAACTACATTTTGAAATTCCTTGATGTTTTGTAGATAGTTTGATGTCACTGAAAATTGATCGTTCTTGGGAAGGATATGTAACAGCATATGAAAAGATATGTAACAACCCTTTCCTATGTAAAATATTCATACACTCAAATCATAAAGCTGAATTCAAGTCGGGTATTTATAATTCACAAGACGGAATTCTCTCTTGTATTGGAAACAAAAGGGGATATGGATCAAGTAGTAAGCAAAACGCGGCGTTCTATAAAAGGTGAGAATCCATGATCACAAAAGTCAGTGACAAATGAGAGCCTCATGCCTCAGTCAACAGAACGTAGCATTGTCTAGAAGGACCTACGTCTGGAAAAGCTACACAAGTCACATGTATACAAGTTACTTCCACGACAAATCAGTTCAACCGTTGCATATCCCAAGCAGCTGCAGAATAAAACGAGTATTTATGGTATTATCATACGAAGACATATCGTCCAGGCCGTTGGAGACAACACCGATGGATTTATATACAATAAGGTGTTAAAACTTGGAAAGCTTGCAGAAAGGTTGGGATGTGCTTTGAAAATGACAGCCTTATAACGGAGCCGTTTGCAATAAAAGTATGGTCTATAAAAACTTGATGAGGCTTCTAATTCGTTTTAATATAATGCACTGAACCTCTGTACATAATAAACATTTTATGCTGAGTGGAAAACAAAATATTTTATTGATTTTAACATATTGTTTAATCTGTGTATGTGAATATTACAATCCTGGTAAAGACGGACGTGTGTCTCCTAGGTAACATGACGTTCGGATACGCTCTCCGCTTATTACACCGATAGATTACAGTTACATTTGTTTTTGTATTCGGAACAAAGCAATTATTATTACCATAATAAAAATCAGAACTGGACAAGAGTAAAACAGGTATAGACCTACGTGGGTGATAAAAGACCAGAAAACGAGCTAGGCGGTAAGTTTCAGTCGTCCATTTTTGTTTTCGATACAACATTGAATAGAAAAAATCTAAACATCCCTTACTTACCGAGTCTGTTAGCTATTTTCTCTAATAAGATTACACAGTAAAATAAAGGCGCACATGTAAAGATGAACCGTGTCCGAAGAGCAAAGAGAAGTGAGTCTTCTAGGCCATTAACTCAATTCATTCTGTTGCGGCTCTGTGGCCTCTAATAACATCGACGAAATTAGAAAAGTAAAAGGGGTGGTGTTCAATATGACGCTGGGACAACTACATTAGCGGTATCGGTTAAGTCAAGGGAATCTTTGCACCTAGTTGCGCACACTAAGGCAAATCGGAGTGCACTGATTCATAAACTTGTTAGAGCAAAATTAACATACTTAGGTCCTTTTTTTAGAGTCTCTGTACAAAATCGTTACGCGTGGTTGACAAATAAATAAATAAACTTTGTAGTATATATATATATATATTCTTCATGAAAAACTTCTTTCTTTGCAGCTAAGTTGTGTATGGCGACTACACGTTTTAAAATCTCGTTAGATATCTAAATGCTCTCGTGGTATTTATTGCACATGCCTACTAAGATTTGGTGATTTGCATATTTTGTTTGCAGAAAGACTCTGAATGAACTTCAAGCTCTAGCGAAGCTCGTGTACTAATGTTAAACGATAGGATACTGTTAGAAGAAAGAATGCCTTCACCAAAAGAAACTTCTAGTCTTACAAAACAACAATGCAACGATTCCTCCACCCTCTCCTCGCCGCCACAGACAGATGAAGAGATCTTAAGAAACGGCAGTATTGGTCAAACGAAACGGTTGATTTTACCCGACAATCCGGGGGACCAGTCCCCAATGATTCAGAGGCACGATCATCAAGGAGCAACGGTCTTTGTGAAGAGAAAGCAATGGTTAAACACAGAGAAACAGAAACTGAATATGGTGGAGAACCCTGCAAATTCAGACGATTCAGGAAAGGTTCTCCGAGTGGATGTGGGCAACATCAGTGTTCATTTACGCAATCCTACTATCCTTCGTCGCCGGACACGTCTGGAGAGGTACCTGCTCGTAGCCGTGGTCCTGCTTTTAGTTTTATGTACAGTATTTGTATATCTAGCGGTTAGTGGACCTCAAACTAAAGGTAAGATCTGTCACTCCTTTCTTTGTTATATTAATAATGTATGTGTATTGCAAAATAATCCAATAAACCAGTATATGTATATCTAGCGGTTAGTAGACCTCAAACTAAGGGTAAGCTCTGTCACTCCTTTCTTTGTTATATTAATAATTAATGTGTATTGCAAAATAATCCAATAAACCAGTATATGTATATCTAGCAGTTAGTGGACCTCAAACTAAGGGTAAGATCTGTCACTCCTTTCTTTATTATATTAATAATGTATGTGTATTGCAAAATAATCCAATAAAACCAGTATATGTATATCTAGCGATTAGTGGATCTCAAACTAAAGGTAAGCCCTGCCACTCCTTTCTTTAATATATTAATGATTTATGTGCATTGTAAAATAATACAATAAATCCTTCATAAAACATTTTTCTAACTTACTATAATGTTTTTGAATGTTTTAGCTCCGATATTACAATGCATAAAATGGGATGAGTCATATGTGCTGTGTTGTGCCGTAACGTGCTTCTGTTATTTTGTGAAAAAATTACATTTTATTGTTTTGTAACACAATATTAATTATATTATTTAATATATCGAATGTCATTACTTTTTTCCGTTTATTATTTATTGTTATGATTTTATCATAAAGATTGTTTTGCATTGTTAGCTTAATATACGTATTTACGTCTGGCTTAATTCTTCTAAGTTGGTTGAACCTTGTGAGATATTATTGGGACTATGTCCAAAATATTGTTAACAGCGAGCGTAACCAACTGATGAAACAATGCATTATAATCCTTATAAGTAGGAAACGTCTATTTAATTAGCTATATTGATGTTAGTTACGCTCTAAGTGCATAGCTTGCTTCGACTGGAAGTAATGTTAAAATAAATATTTCTTGGTTGTTCTTTGCAATAATGTTACACACTTAGCTGATAAATATGAGTTTCGATGCAGTGTTCGAGTGACATAAACACTGATTAAATCAGAACATTTTGGGAATACGAAACTGCTAACTTTACTCAACAATCCGGAAGATATGTCTATACGAAATCATTAGGTAAAGTTGAAGAATAAATAAACTGTGTAGTACATATAAGCGTTCTCAGCTTTGTGAAACTAGGCTACGTACTGACGATGTTTCTAAATTATTCAAGACGGAAGCTATTTAAACGTGTTTGCTAAGTGTATAGTCTTAATTAAACTGAATTCCGAAAAGGTCATCTATACAAATTCATAATAAATAGTGATTAGTAGCCGTGATTGGATAAACTATCAAATGTGAGCTCTAGTGAAAAAGCCACTGCCTAGATGCTATTTAGGTTGGTGATCAGAGCACGTTTATAGGATATTGTTTTGAGTCGTTTTAAGTTACGTAGACAGAATGAGACAGAAAGTGTCATAGGTATACTTGGAATCGGGTTTATTTGGAAATAAATAATCCATTTTCATGTTTAGAAGAAGAGAAATCTCGGTAATTTATTCCGGTGGATTTAGAAGATTTTTAAACAATAGTTTATTAGAATCTGATTACGTCTCTAATAAACCATCAAACGTGAATCCTCTGACGATCTTAAAGAAATGTAATTGAAAACTCATTATTATTATTATTACTAATTGAAAGCTTTGTTCATAACAGTACTTTTCAAATTAGAAGGTATACAGTTTTCTTCGATGATTCATTCACTCACAACAGCCGAAAGTGTATAGGTAAATATATAAAGATACAGACAATTAGGTTTCTTTCAGATGCAGGTACAATATGCCGTTAATAAAACGGTATATGTTAGTACAGTGTGATATTGGAATAAAGATGCAGGTACAATATGCCGTTAATAAAATGGTATATGTTAGTACAGTGTGATATTGGAATAAAGATGCAGGTACAATATGCCGTTAATAAAACGGTAAAAACTAGTACAGTGTGATATTGGAATAAAGATGCAGGT